GATTGATTTGTAGTGCCTTGTTTTGTAAGTCCCTATTAGTATCGTGAAACGGCACACTTTCAAGGTCCCTATTATTTACAGGAGCAGGGATGAAAGGTTGTAAACTGACGTTTTGAGATTTGCATTGATTTAACTCGTTGTTATGATGACCATTGTTTCGGTGACCATTTCTGTTGTTTTTGTTCATAAGAGTGTTTTTATTAATCTTATTATTGTTATTGTTCATCGGAGCAGCAAATGTAGATGCATTTTTATTCTCTAGGGAAACAATGGTAAGATTCAACTTTTCAATTTCAAGGGATCGTTCTTTCACAAATAAACTCAACTCAGATTCAAGCTTTTCAGATCTCGCCTTCTCAATCGAAAGTTCACTCCGAAGACGATCAATTTCTTTATCTTTATGAGAATATTCGGTATTAGCATTTGCAATCGAATCGATTCTGTTAGATAGAATAGTAATATCTAATTTAACTCCCTCAACATCAGCAGCTAGAACGCCACACGAACAGCGACAGTTCGACAAATAGTTGGAATTATCACCTATAATGTCTAGACAAACCTGTGATGCGGCATCAACTTGGTTGGCCGGTCTCGATATAGGTGTAGGCTCTGATTCCAAAATATTTTGAGCAATGAGATCCCGCTGTAACTCTGAATTTTTCGACAGGGCTTGCACTTGTTTACAACTCGACTTCATAACACCATCCCGTGTCTGACAAAATTTGACACATCCATCCCGAATTAGGTTGCCATCTTTGCCTTGAAATAATAAAGTGTTTTGCTTGCCTGAATACCACGTCAAAGTTAGTTCAGCATTGGAGCTTGTGAACCTCTTAGACCCACCTCCAGGAGAACACCATTTCCCGTTTAGGTCAAGCACTTCGGCAACAAACGCCTTAAGAATATACATGTTTTGAATACATGTTTTGCGTGCGTGAAAGCATGGTGTGAAAAAAAATGCACGATAATCACGCCAAATGCGTGACACTTGACAGGTCTGTGCTTAGGATAAGGCTCAAAATTTGTCTTTTTCAGGCCATTTTAAAAATTACCTTCGGTGAATTTTTTTAAAACTTTGCATAAAAGATAATACTGTACTTGTATAATGATTTTTTTCCCTCAATTTAAAAAAATTATATCGATACGTTTCTTAGAAAATTTAAAAAACGTCAAAAATCAATATTAAAAATTTTCCCTTCGATTTAATTTTAAGAAAAAAGGATAGTGCACTTGTTGTTTTTTAAAAAATTTTACCGAAGGAAAAGGGAGAAATTTGGGTTTAATTTTGGCAATTTTTACTAGATTTTGACGCGAACAATTTAACACCACAACTGACGTGTACATGCATTTTGTATAAAACAACAAGGCATGACTTTTTGAAATTACAATTTTAATATAAATTAGGTTTGATATACTGTTTATAACTGTGTCGGTTAATGGTCAACTAAGCGTGGATTATACATGTAAAATTGGCAAAGATAGGTAATTGCTGGTTATGACTTCTTGGTATTAATTTGAAAAATGTTTGTCAAAATTCGTCCCGTGCGAGTTAGTTGAGTTGGAGTAGGTATTTTCGAGTTAAGCCCTTCGAGTTAAGCCCTTTTCCAGTTAAGCCCCTGCCACGCCCTTTTTCGCAGAGGCTTAACTCGAAGTCAATTAACGATTTAAGCATTCGAGTTAAGCCCCGACATTTGGTGGATGTGAACAAGTGACGCGTGTGTACTCGCAAAAATATTGGCGAATATACGTAAGGAGGGAGAATGTAAAATTTCAGCAATTTCAAGAAATATATTTTACTTAGATCTCTGTTGCTTTGCCTATAGTTTTATACAGACAATGACATCGTGAAACGAGAGAGCTCAATAATAATGATTTGTAAACAACAGCTCATTCAGGGCGGCAATTACGGCTTTAAAAACTAAATAATATATAGCGGCACTTGCAGAACGCAAATCTTAGGCATGTTCATATGGAGGCAAGCTACCTTTCTAAGATATATCTCTTTTCCGAAGTAGGGGACATGAATACTACAGCCTGACATCATCCCCGAGCCGACGGCGCGAAGCGCCGTGCGAGGGTACTAATCCCCCCCGGCTATTTACACCCGGGGAAAGGGAAGCATTAGCCAAGTCTAAAGTTCATCAATGAGCGCGGGCGTGGGTCACCAACCGTGGGTGGTCATCCTCACTGATCTCAAACATATGGCTGTTTGCCAGGAGTGGGATAAACAAGATTTCAATTTTCAAAAGCATATAATTATTTGGAAAATCACGTTTCACACAATGAGCTTTGAAGCAATTTTTGTTTGAAGAAATGAGAAGAATTGATTTACTGTGGAAAATCGCGGAATATAGGGCAAGTTTGCTTTGAATGTTTAATGTTTATGAATTTTGTTGCTTTAATTTATTGCGTAAAACGTGCACTGCCTTCCTTTTCAATGAAGCTGTATTAAAGTTTGCTAAATTACCGTGTTTAATTTAAGAATAAAAGGTAAAATGTGAAGGAGAGGAAATTCATTTGAAAACCGAACTGAAATTACTCAATTTGAACTTATTTTGTTTTATAAACTATATAAAAACCAGTACAGTTTTATATCGGAAAAAGCAGTTTATAGTTTATTAAATATTAAAATGAACATTTCAAAACATTTTACGAAGCGATTCACGTTGAATTTTACATTAAAGGTGATGTAAAGTCCGTAATGTAAACAAACGCTTTGTTTACATTTTGAACTCAGTGCTACCATGGATAATAAAATACATGGATAGGAAACTAGCTGACGTGACCTAATGTTTTCAATGGGATGATGGCGTTGAAACCTAGTTGCAAACCAAATTCTCAAAAACGGCATGTTTAGCGATAATACAGCTAAACATTTTTAGTCAAAGAGCAAATAAATATAACTAGGCCATTCTACGATGAAATTTCTAAGTATTCCCGGTCAATTTTAGCAAATATTTCAAGCAGTAAACAGTGAAAAATGCATCGCAAATTTCGTTAAAATTGGCGACGCCAATTTCGTAGCTACAAATGTAAAAAAATACAAAACAAAGACGAAAAACATTTACCTTGAATACTTTGTCGTGGCTTAGGCATGTTTTTGAAACAATTAGACCAGTTTATGCTTCAATATTACTCTTTTAAAGCGGAAAATATAGCGAAACAACAAAAATGCTGAGAACTTTGGCAATACACGTGACGTCACAGATTGCAACTAGGTTTAGACTGTGACGTCAGGAAGTTTCCTATCCAGTTATTTTACAATCCATGGTGCTACATTTGTAAAATATGATTAGATATATATTATACTGAATTTTTAACACTCTTCCGGTTCGCTATGCTTGTAAATGAATGCAGACTAGAGATTCAATTCAAGAAAGTTCGGAAGGTGCGAAATATTAACAACATTCCAAAGGTTGCTCCCCCACTGATCGAATGTTTTGATGCGCAGAATATATGCGCAGAATATATGCGCAGAACGGACTTTACCGCATCTTTAAATCAAAGCTCACAAAATGCAGAACAACATACCTACAGTACGTACTTCGGAAATTCATTGCAATAATCTTTCAACTATTGGCGTGTTGTACAAAAAATATAATAAAAATTAAATTTATCGTGTTGCCATGGCAACACTGACGTAAACGCGAGCCTGCGTTCAGTCACAGGTTCAGTGTTAATCAATTACTAAGAAGTATATAAATATTTATTAAATTAACAAGTTTTAACATGATATTTACAAAATCAACTTTCTTTTGTTTTAACTGTTAAATGTCCAAAAGTTTTGATTTTTATTAAGATTGTTAGTATGTTGTCAGCTTCAGTCAGTTGCTAATACTTCATGTTAAATCAATGTTTGGAAAATACATGCGAGGGGTTGCTGCATGCATGTATTTCTAGTATAGTGGTATGTTTGGAGTTTCGGCCCTGCTCATTTCATCAGTAGAGGGCTCATTATTTAAGTCATCTTTATTGTCATAAGTGCTGCTAGATTGTGGAGAAAACACTGCAAATTCTTGAGGAAACTTTATATCATATCCCAATGTTCGCGATCGAACCTCGCGTACGGCAGTTCAGAAAACTTCCAGAATGCCGCTTGAAAAAAAACAAGTTTACATTATCTTCTTTTGAAACATCACATCCAAGTATCGTTGTGGATTTTAGAACTCTTTTTATGCTTTAGACTAAAGCAAAATTCACACTTTTGTTTCGAAAAGAGTTTTTGAAGTACAATACAATATGATTTATTAGTTAATCCCCATAAGGGCTTTTCATAACTAATTTACAAAGAAGTGTAGTAATATGATATTTACATGCAATTATTTAGAACTTATGTTAAAAAGATAGATTGTCTGTAGCTAAACTAGAATTACTGTATATTACGAGGACTATTAAAAATTAATTCTGTCTATTGATTATGTACGTACGGCCTTCTTAAATCCTCCTAGAGTTGAAATGTTTCGAGTCGAAAGATCAAATGAGTTCCACAGCAGTGCTGCATGATTAAAAAAGGATCGCTTAGCTTTAGATGTTCTACATCGTAATATGTTTAAGTCATTTGCCTGCCTAAAGTAAAGTGATTATGAACTTGCGAAAGGATTACTAGCTTGGAACTAAGGTAGGCAGGTGCAAGACCATGAACTATTTTATACATCATAATAGCATTACGGTACAATAGAGAGTCGTTCACTGACAACCATCCCAGCTTATCTAAAGCCGGGGTGATGTGATCATACTTTCTAGTTCCGGTTACGATTCGTGCTGCAAAGTTCTGTACTTGTTGTAGTTTCTTAACGTTCTTTTGGGTGGTGCCAGACCAAACCGTGGAGCAATAATAAAGTTTGCTAAATACTAGGCAGTTTATCATGACCAACAAGGCATTCTTGTTGAACAAGTGTCGAACTCTGTTGATTTGACACAGACTTGATGTTAGGGTCGACGTCAATGAATTGATATGATCGTCAAATGTCAGAGTGGCATCTAAAGTGAGACCAAGGTCTTTACAAACTCTGGCAGGTGTTAATATTTTTCCTTTTTCCTAAGTTTGGCAGGTTCTTTATCGCTTTCTCCATTCCAAATATCATAAACTCTGTCTTCAAGGGATTTATTAGAAGCTTATTAGAACACCATTCTGCTATATTTCTGAGATCTTGGGAAAGGCTTAACAGGCCAAGGTTGGCTTCTGATAAGGAAAATGATATAAACGTCTTTGTGTCGTCAACATATGATTCTACGTCACAATTCGAAACAACTTTGGGTAAATCGTTCATGTATATTGTAAACAGCAGTGGACCCAAGATGGAGCCTTGTGGGACTCCATGTTTCACCAATAAAGGAGTTGATGTAGATTGACCAATGCGTGTGACTTGATATCTATCGGATAGATAACTCTGAAACCAATCAACGCTAGAGGAAGAAGCGCCTACATTTTGGAGCTTTTGGAGTAGTCTTTCATGGCAAATGCTATCAAAGGCTTTACTCAGGTCTATTAAAACCATTGCTGTAATCTTTTTTTCGTCCATTGCTCTAAAAATGTGGTCAGTGATAAGTAGGCTAATGGTTTCAGTGGAGTGTAACTTTCTATTTCCACTTTGATGGTTGGTTAATCTCTGCTTTTGAACTAAGTATTCTGTAAACTGGATCAGAGCCAAGCGTTTAGCGATTTTGGAAAGTACTGGTAGTAGAGAAATAGGCCTGTTATTATCAGCCTCTTCATGGTCGCCTTCCTTGAGGTGGGGTATCACTACCGCTTTTTTCCATTCACGTGGAAATGTGTTACTCTCGAAGGATAGATTTATCAGCGTGGTGACAGTATCCGAAATTTCGGGGCGACAGTTCTTAATTACTTTAACTGGGACTTTATCATATCCCGGTGCTTTGTTGTTGGGCATTGACAGGATAACTTTATTTACCTCCTCACATGTTACTGGTCTGAAATAAAATAACTCATCTTCAGGATATGGCACGGGGAGAACTGATTCTGATGCTTGTAGCCCATGTTCTACAGCAAGCTTTCTTGAAGATGTAGCAGCTTGTTGCCCGACGCATGTAAAAAATACATTAAATTGATTAGATAAGGATACTGTATCTTTGGTATAGGTCAACTGCTGGCTAGATGATTTTGGTATTGCACGACGGATTGTTTTCCAAATTGCACCGCGGCAATTTTTATTAGAGAGAATTTCTTTATTGAAATAATCTGTTTCCGCTTGTCTGATGGCACATTTGATCCTCCGTTTTAATGATTTAAAAGCATTCCAATCCTATAAT